ATCTAAATGATCTGTTGAAAACAAAGAACAGTGGCTATAAAAAAAAGTCGCAGCAGCAGCAATAATAGCAGCAGTAGTAGTAATAGTAGCAGTAGCAGTAGCAGTAGCAGTAGCAGTAGCAATAGTAGTAGTGGTAGTAGTAGTAGTAGTAGTAGTAGTAGTAGTTGTTGTTGTTGTAGTCGTAGGAGTAGGAGTAGGAGAAGGAGTAGGAGCACAGGAGCCGCAGCCAAGACTAAGACTCAGAGATGCTAAACTGCTAAACCCCTAATCACCGAACCGTAACCGTGGTTTAACTAGCTACGGAACCCTCGGGACTAGTAGCACTAAGTATTTAGAGCTCTATAGCACTCAGAGATGCTGAACCATCAACCCCAAGCCCGAAACCATAAAGCCGAAAATCCTAAACCCCAAAGCCTAAAGCCGAACACCCTAGACCCTAAACCCGCGAAGTCACGGGGTGCGAGGCCGCTGGTAGCACATCCATGCCGGAAGGATAGCCCTCGGAGCCCCATCTGCATATATGAAACGGCAACTGCATTCGTTCAGAGCCCTAACACGTACAACTGGCTTTGGGAGTATATTGTAGTATTATGGTATAAGTATCTAAGGACGATAAGGATACCATTATTACCCCTCTAGTCTATCTTTAAAGTTTCAAGACCTCGGAAGATGTGACAGATGTGTCGGGTGATGTAAGAACCTGATTAAGAAACCCTGGTCCTATAACCCCCACAAAATAGAGCATTATGAATTCAAGCCCCAACAATAGGCTCACGTGACAGCTGTGATCTTGTGGAGTTCACGGGTCTGGTGGTGGCGGGTTGGGGTTCGGGAGCAAGGAACAACACCTTTGTTAACCCATTGTCCTGGGTTTAGAGCCTGGGCTGCAGGGTGTAAGGGTTTTAGGTTTAGGGCTCACGGCCTTTTTCACGTCTGCGCTGCACGACAGGGTTTAGGGTTTAAGGCTTCGGGTCCAACGCCGGGGGCCTGATGAATTAGAAGAGGAGTTCTTGCGTATGTTTTACTAGTAGTACGGAACCGTACGGTATAGCATCAACTACTCAGCGTTCTATATTCTGTAACCCCGCACCCTAATCCCCCAGGCCCTCTCATCTGAAAACTCGAACCCGACTGTCCCTCCTGAAAACAATGTTTAAGGGTTTTGGCTTTAGAGTCTAGGCCCCAAAAACTAAAACCCTAAACACTGAACCCTAAACCCTAAACCCTAAACTCTGAACCCTAAACCCTAAACCCTGAACCCTAAACTCTGACCCTAAACTGTGGGGTGGCCCGAATCTTTCTTTGCAGGGCTCCAGGGGGACTTGATCCTTCGAGCACTCCCCCGCAGAGTGCGAGGGGTCTGATCATCTTCTGGGCCGGCTCATGCTCAGCCTGAGAAGTAAAGTAGGGTTAGGGCTTAGGGTTTAGAGTTTAGGGTTCAGGGTTAGGGTTTAGGGTTAGGGTTTAGTTAGGGTTTAGGGTTTAGGGTTTAGGGTTCCCTTGACGGCTTCCTTGAGAGGGATCTATAAGGGGACAATTTAGGGGTTTAGAGTTTAAGGCCCTTGATCAGAATTGGGTGATATTTTCGCACACTACAATGGCAACACTCAGGACCAGTATTGGACATTTGGGATTTTGCACTTCGGGTGTCCTTTTCCGTTTAGGGCTTGAGCGATTTTAGAGTTATTTGGGGTTTGGGGTAGGTTTTGGGGCTGACGGTTTGGATGTTGGGTTCGGCCAACGTCGGCTTTGCGTTTTCGGGTGTGGAGCACACCACCCTAAACCCTAAACCGTGGATTTATATAGGTGCGGGCCTGAAATGTCGGGGGCGTGGACTTACGTCACGTGGATGACAAAAACGAGGACCGTGGATTTAGGGCTTGCGGCTTGGGGTCACAGGGGGGGTAGTCTGTGGAGGGGAGTCGCCATCCTGTAGAAATGTCTGCAGAATCTTGTTGAACCATCCAAAGTCGTGTCACTACACAAATCCCTATTCATTCCTATTCTAATCATTGAGGACCGTGTTACAAGGTATCACGTCCTGGAAAGTCCAAGCACGCACGTCGAACGAAACGGCCAGAAAAAAATTGTAGTCATGGCCTTCCCAATGCAGACATCGCCGCTTGGCCGCCCTCCACGAAGATAAAGCGAGGCCGTCTCAAACCAGTGTTAAAACATTATCTGGAAGGACTAGCCACCAGCTCTAAACCCGAAATCCCTGACTATCCCAGGGTCTACATCCCGGAAACCACACCCCAAAACCCGAAAACCCGGGTAACCCTTCTTGACTTCTAGCAACCCTATGATAACACTTATAGCAACCGCCAAACCATCCAAGGCCCCGGCGGTTCAGCGAGTCGAGGAGGATCTGGCGGCGCTCAAAGAGGGCCTTTGCCCGGCGGTCGGCGATGTCCTGGCAGTGTGCTCTAAGGAGCTCAGGGATGTCGGGTTTGGGGGTTTGAGGGCTTGAGTTCAGGGGCTTAGTGCTTTGGTCTTAGCCATGAAGAATTTTTTACGTCTGTACTCTGACAGGCGCTTGTTGAACTTGCACAGATCTGCTACGTGTTCCGCTTGAGAGTCTTAATGTCTGAGCTTGCTTTAATGAGGCTTCATGGAGCAACGTTCGTGTCCCGGGTCTCCGGGCCCAGGGGCTGGGGTTCTTGCGTCGCAAGTTCTGGTGGAACCCTAAGACCCCAAGGACCCTCAAGTGCCAACCCAGGAAGCCTGCTTGATGAGCGCGTTCTCCACAGCTTGCGTCTGCCTCGACATCGGAACGATCATCGGAACAGGAATGATGGCGCAATACTCGAGGTTCAACCCTACGATCCTAAATTTCAGTGTTTGTGGGCGATTCTCAAGTAGCGCCATGCCAGGGAGAAGTGTTCGCGAACCGTCATCCAAAGCCGTGAAGCAAGCCCAACACTGCGCAAGGAAGCCACCAAAGAAACTGCATCAGCAACAAAGACAAGGGATAAAGTGCTCCTACGAACGGCCACCTAGTACAGCACACGCCCGTACACTAGGAGTCCTGCACGAACAGGATCGGCACTCCAGACAAAAGAGATGTGTCTGTGTAAGCCTATGCTTGCCCGAAACAGAAACCTGAATAATCAGAACAGGATTCAGGGGTATATCACAGAGACTGTATTACTATAAGGGATTGGCATGACAAGTGGCTCGGACTCCTAGACTATGTGATTTTGAATTCCATTCCTTTGCAGTCCCAAAACCCTACTGTGAGCAAATGCCGTACAGAACCGTTTCAAGGAACCCTAGTCCTTTCTCCGTAAACCATTCGGACCCCTATTCTAACCTGATCACGCCCTCAATCCACCCCTCTAGGAACCCTTTGTGGGAACCCTTCGATGCCCAGAATTCTTACAAAACATGTAAAACCCCTTCTAGAACCTTTCCAGGAACCCTATTCTGATTACTACGTCCTACATCCCTGGCATCGCTAATTCTACTAAAACATACCCCAAAACCCTGTTCCAATCGTTAAGCCCCTGTCCCTAGACCCTAAACCCCAAACCCTAAACCCCTAAACCCCTCAACCCCTCAACCGCCAAACCGCAACACCCTAAACCCTAAACCCTATATCCTGGGTCAAGCCGCTGCTTCAGGATGCCCTTGCGGCAGGCGTCGAAGGCATCGAAGGAGGGAAGGCACTTCCTTTTCTCTAGGGGCCAGCTATTTCTATATCTATACAGAAAACGTGTATGAATACGTGTTGCAACTATGCATATATGTATGTATAAGTATAAGAAGAAGTATAGACTACATCTATATATGTGGCTAACAGCTGCCACTTTAGGAATTCAGAGAACTAGGGGTCCAGACCTTTTGAGTTTTGAGTTGGGGACAAGGGTGAAAGCATCTAGCACCCAAATAAAACCCGCAGCTTTCTGGTGTTGAATACAATGTACCAGGCCCTCTTCAGCGGCCGTGAGGGAGTCAAAGCTCTTCCTCCACATCTGGATCCAAACCACCGCCTAAATCCTAAATCCTAAATGTCAAGGTCTTCGGGCCTCCAGGGAGTGGAGACTTCATCCTTCTCTTCAGGGCATTTGTATTTATATTTATATGTATATGTATATGTATATGTATACATATATATATATATATATATATATCGGTGCTGCTCTTTTCAAATTTCTCAGAGGCATGACGAAATACAACTACATGCTGTCTTCAGGGCTCGCTTGGCTCTCCAGGTCTGGTCTGACCCGGGACACAAGATGGCGAAAGCTCCAAGCCGTAAGATCCAAAGGCAAAACGCACATGTCTCACCTGGAATGTTCCCTAAACCCTAAACCATGATCCCTAAACCCTCTACTTGCAGATGTGCCACATCTTTCGCGTGGACGAGTCCTCCTTAAAGCTCTCCTGGAGGCACCTCCCAG